CCTCTCGGCTCTCTCGTACTTCTATGGGGTGCTACAGGACTTCGACAGGACCTCGTGGGACTGCGTGCTCCAGGGTGCCCTGTCCACCTTCTCCAACACCAGCTCCTTCTTCTGGACCATGGCCATTGCTCTCTACCTCTACATCACCATTGTGAGGGGCTCGCCCACCGGCACACGCTTACTCTGCTGCTTCCATGTCATGAGGTGGGTGCTGTCCCCATGAGGGTGCGAGGTGTGGACCCCACACCTCTGTGCACCCTCTGTGGTGAAGCGCTTGGTTGGATGCTTACGTCACCTGCTCTTCACTTAAGGATAATCTGCCCCTCTCAAGTTCCCTATAAACAGGGGGGTTGCTGTCTTATAACCAGCCCTGCTTACTTCCCCCTCCCCAGGTAAAGAAATGAGATGTAGAAAAGCTAAAAGTCTTTTGCTTAAGGTCACATAGAATAATCCCTGGCAAGGTAGAGCCACTCTGAAAATCCTGGCTTCTGCTTTCCCTCCACAATCTGCTCTCACATCCGAGAAATAGTATCACAAAACTTGTGTTTGCAGTACCTGCCTGCTGCTGCCAGAATTCCCGTGTCTGACTCTGGTTCCTGGGATCCCGACTTCCCAGTGCCAGCCTGGTCTGTTGATCCTCCCTCTTTCCCCAGGCAGGTTGCTGTAATTCAATACACATAGTAGGAGTACGTAGTCTGCAAGGCAGGAAAGCACGCTGAAGGTTGTTTTGGCGTGTTTGAAGGCGAGGCAAACCAGACCACAGTGCAGCTTTATGTCTCGGTTTCTGCTCTTCAGCAAGCTGTTTTTTCCACATCGTGTTTAGTAAAAGCTTTCATTATGCAATTGGAGCTTGGGGAATCATGTGCTACCTCCACGCTGAGCAAAACAGTGATCCTTTAGTCCTCCGGGCTGCCAAGCTTCTGCAAGAAATAGGGAGAGGAATGATCTAAGGAAAAAACAATCAGGGCAAGTGCTGAGTTTTCTTTGGTTTCTTAGACAAATATTTGTCTGCTTTTATTTTCACACAGCATCAGGTGGGAGTCCAGGTAAAGGTGGACCAGAAAAAGGCATTACGCCTAAATGTGAATCAGGGAGGAGCCTGATTCCTGCCCTACCTGTTCTACTTACTGCTTGACAGCGAGGTCTGTGTGTGAGGTGCCTGCACATCTGGGAACACCAGCCTATTGGCAGTGAAGCTGAAATAAGATGCAGAGAGACGGTGGCATTTGTTAGATTATTTCAAGAGGATAGAGATGCGCTGTAGGAATTATGGAGAGGATGGAGGGCCTGTAAAGAACCACATTTTGCTTAAGGAACAGGAAAAAGGAGTCTGGGTTCTTTGTGGGAATGCTGTCTACAGGCTCCATCAAAGAGTTGATTCAAATCTGGCCTGGTTGTGATTTTCCTGTCTGCTAATCACTTGTGTGGCCTTTGTCTGTGCTTTAACTTCTCCATCTGGTTTAATGCTTCTCAGCCTCATCATCTACAATGTGCGGAAAGAAATGGGCACGTTCACTGGAATCATGTTGGCTGTAGTCTGTGCACTCTTAAAGCTGGGAGATTGCTCCAACGCTACAAGAGAGAGGAAGGAAGTGTTCACACTGAACTTCCTCTGGGTCAGTTTGCTAGGCTTATTCTCAGGTCCTTGCAGTAAAAATAAAATGCCATCTTCTGCTCTTGATATTGATCAGCTTCACTTGCTCTGTTTAAAGGGAATTGTAGATAGTGCTCATCGAAGCCTTGTTGCTTCGTGGTTCTTCGTAACTGACTCCCATTCTGTGCAGAGCCAGTGTTTAAAGCTGCTTCTTGCTCTACGATCTGTATGAAGAGGCAGAGAAAACAAGTGAGGACCTGTTCTCTGCCCATCCCCTTGTGACACATCTTTCTTCTTTCCTTCTCTGTACTTTAATCATTACTTGAGAACTCAATCATAAAACCAAATTCTGGACATGATGCTTGGAGATGCCTCCTTGCACTTTCCAGTGCTTCAAAGTCCTTCTGGCTACCTGGGGTGCTCTTAGCCTAAAAATCTTCTAGTACCATGTGGACAGGAGCTACTGTAACTGATCTGAAAAGATTCTAGCACATGCATTCATGGCAGTAGGTAGGTGAGACCTGTCTGGGGCAACAGGAAAGGTGGCAAAGGGCAGATGATTTAAGGATTTGAAGGAAAGTTCCCCGTGTTTTGCCTAAGCATGTACCTGGGATTCCCCTCCCTTGCTTCATAGGTTGCTGATGTTGTTATGCAGCGACCATTGTGTGAAGAGTCATTCCAAGACACTTCTGGAAGGGATTCAAGGCAGGATGGAGTGACATGCATGTTTCCTATTCTTCACAAGCAGTTACTCATGAGGGACAAGTGTTGGTAAAGATGAATACTCTTTTAGTGTTGAGTATAACCGGAGACTGTTCTTTAGCCAAGTGGAGCAACTAAATATATGTTGGAAGTGAGTACCTGAAGCTTTCTTTTTAGGGAAATTAGGATGTCACACTGGATCAGACCTGCCAAGCAGGTTTGTTCCAGTTTGATTCATGTGGTAACACATCTACATAGTCCATTGCTGGAGTAGAGAGCTGCAGGCTCTGTTTTGGCTTTAAACTTATTGAGCTCAGATGAGCTTTGAAAACAAACTCAGAGTCAGCTTTGGAAATATTTATGTAGTTGTAAGGTGTAAGTGCTGGTGTCCAGGGCCCCAATTTCCAGGCTCCTTCACTGGCTCTGGATTCCCAAATATCAAGTAGCATTTAGTTGGCTAATGTCATCTTTGCTGTGAGAGCTGCTGTTCCGAAGTCAGGGTGAGGATGCACCAGCACCCACCTTGGGGTTGTTTCTTGCTTTGTTTTTGATAGCACTTGCTGCCAGCCTCTGAAGTATTTGCGTTTCAAGATCAGGCTATGCAGGTGCTTACTTAAATATTTTACTAGACCGAAATAGAAATATGTGTGCTTATATACACGTTTATAACCATGCATGTCCATGGAGTACTTGGAGATCCTTTCATGTTCTACTGTACATCTGAGTCCTCAGGGCACTGCCTCATGCATGGCTGTGATCATGCCAGTGCTGACTTTCAGAACTGGACTTAGAACTGAACAAGTCCCTACCTGTGAAATTTGCTGTGGCTTTATTTAGCTTCTAACAGCTCGTTGGTCTAGGCCAACCAAAGGGTGAGCAACTGACTGCTGGTGCCTTAGGTTTTCAGTTCTTGCCTGCTTCTCTGGGAGGATTCTCTGCTTGGGACCAGGAAGGTAGTATTTTGGTGCTGCAAACCGTTTAATGGTTAGGGGTCAAAAATTACCTTGGAGCAGCTTTGGTCTGGAGCTCTGCTCACAATGTGCACTCCAAGCTCTTTCCTGAAACTGGCTGCTTGATCCAGAAGACTGGTTTTTGTCTCTTTACAGGGTAGAAATTCCCATCCTAGAAGGAGTTGCCTTCAGGCTGCCTGGTAGGATGGATGGCTTCTGTCCAACCTGTGCGGGCAGGTGACAGCAAATCTTCCCTGGGTGTAAGAGCCTCTGAGGGGAAGAAAATAGAGCAGCTGAGCAGCATAAATCAAAATGTGCTATTAAGCAACCTGACCCAGGCAAGAAAGCCAACACAACTTGAGCTGTATGCTGCTATAGTTTAAGGGTCCTTGTCTTGCCTTGTCTAAATGCATCATTGGTGTTAATAGAATCATTTAAGTTGGAAAAGACCCACCAGTAACAGTGTGGAAAGTTAGGCTGGGTTGCGTGTCTTTTCATTAATAGATTGCTGGGGGCCGTATTAGGGACATAAGTACTGTTGTACCTGCCTTAGAGATGGGATTGCCAGCATCTTTACAGCGGTAGTACTTCTTTCCCACACTGACTGTGGTTAGATCCAAAGGTGCTTTTCAGAGGCCCAGCCTACACAATTGCACTGCCTTTGGGGCTCTGAGTAGAATTTCTGCCTGTTTGTGTTGTCTTGGATGCTTTTTATCCCAGTCTTTACATATGCCTTGGGTCTAAAATATGCTGATCCTTCTGCTCCTCTGTTCTTGTTGATGGGTATAAAGCATCGGTATTTCCCAGCCTTTGGGAATCTGTCGTTTAGGGGTTCTCAAGAACACTCAAATCACTAGTCTCAGTTCTCTTTTCCAGTCTTTTAAAATAGAGCTGAAGAACTTCACTGAAATGCCTGACTAGTTTCTAGCTTCTAACTTTGAGTTTGTCATCCTGTGTCCTTTGTGTTAGTTGTGCCATCTGATCCCAATACACTGCTTCAGTGCAAATTAGCCTGATGGTTGGCAGATTTCTTCCACATCCTTCCTTTTACTGGCTAGATTATTGAAGAGTTCAAGTCTCTTGCCTAGTGGTCTGTTATTTCCTACTGCAGCCTCTCTCATTGTGCCTGTTCATACTTACACTGTTCTCTTTTATATCCAGTAATTTGACCTGGTTTTATCTTCTCATATAATTCTCTCAGTTTCAGGTTGCTGTGGAGATCATTATGTAGGCAAATTAGTTTCTTAATACACTTCCTTTTTCTTGGTGCTGGCCTCACTTGTGCTTGTGTTGCCTTAATATGGTTTCTTTAAGGAAGTGCCAGTTCTCTTGAACTCTTTTAGTGGTCAGTTCTTCCAAGAGCACTGAAATGTGGATGTCTTTGCATTTGTGCTGCTTGTTTCCAGGCAAATCACCACTTTTTACCAAGATGAGTCTTGTGTTGTGCAGGAGCTTCCATGGGGGTGATGTTCGGAATGTTCGCAGAAAGGCTGCTCTGATAATAGCACGGGGAGGGCTTCCTGCACCAGAACTGTCCTTAAATAACAGCACTGGCTTGGATTAGCACTGGCTGTTCTGAACTGAACCCTGAAACAAAATGTTCCAAACATGCTAAAAGGGTGACTCTGTTGGGGTTTTTTTACAGCATTATATTTGTATTTCAGGGGGGTTTATGACTAGGTGAATCCAGACATTATTTAAGAGTAGGAAATGGGGTAGTTTTGAAACCTCTCATGGGATTATCTGTGATTTTTCAGTTGGGCTGTGGAATTTCAGATAACCTGGTCTAGGCAACTGCTCTTTGCCTACATAGCCTGCTGCATTGAGGCTGGGTTTAGGAGGAAGATCCTTTTCATGCAGCTGCTCCAGGCTGTCAGTGGAATCCAAGTGTGAACCAGGAAGGTAATGGGAGCAACACAGTAATGGCTTTGTTTTCTTTGCATCTGGAGAGACCCCGAGGGTTGTGCTGGAAGCTCAGTGAGCACTTTGTGAGGCATTTGTGTCACTTGTGAAGAAATATCCCTTGTCCCACTTAAAGCTCCACAGAACCTTCCCTGGGGATGAACACGGGGAAGGGCCGGTGATGCATCCAGCCGAATGCAGGGCAGTGTTGCAGGTGTGGGGTAATTGGTGATTGTACATCACAGGCCTGTGAAGTCCTGGCCATGAAGAGCACCCAGGGAAGGGCTGAGTGTTTTTACATCTGGGCTCCCGGGATTTTTCAGCTGGGTTTTTGTGGGCAGCCCAAGCTGCCGAGTGGTTTAGTTCATGTATGTCACCAGTTAGTTTTCTTCTGAATGCTTCCCTATATTTGCTTCTGCTGTCAAGAGAGAAGCCAAAGACAAAACACAGCTCCAAATAATGTGGGCACGGCTCCTCTTTGCTTTCTTAGCTTCTTGCTAAGTGTTCTTCCTTGGGAAGAAACCTGCCCTTTGGCCTTCAGAAATTATCCTTTTGCTCCCAAAATATTAACTACAGCCCCATTTAAAAACCAAACCCCACTAATGGAATTGAGAAGGGGATTTCTTTGTGTGCTGATTCTTTGTGTTAAGTCTCACTTAGGAATCAGAGTGTGGGATTTGGTTTCTTGTGGTCTGAAAGCTCTGTATCAGCCGGCTTGCTCACGAATGGATGGATCCTACAGGATGGTCCCATTGTAGGATGCTCTGCCCTTGTCACATCCTCGATCTCACCTGTATCCAGGAGAGAATGGGAGAAGGGGAGTAGGTGGGATGTGTCTGTTCACCTTGCTGGACCCTGACTGCTCGCTGTGCATGCCAGGTTCCAGTTCAGAGTGTGGCACATCATTATCCATCTGTTCTTCAGGACTGGGGATCCAAGTTCCTCGAGTGGATCCCTAAGGAAGCGGATTTACAGTCCACACATATGCTGTCAAATACCTGCTTCTCAGCCTCTTCCCTTTGGCGTGATGCAGGAGTGCTGATGTTCTGGAATAAGTATTGGCATCCTGTCTGATGAGGAACCCCTTGGTCCATCATCTGCTTTCTCTGAGGTGTGGAGGGACTAAAGTGAGTATGTTCCTGGCTTAACCTTGCTCTTCATGTTCCTTGCTCAGCTGGGGAATCCCCCTTGGCATCACGGTGGCGGCTGTTGCCCTGAAGAAGATTGGCTACGATGCCTCCAATGTTTCTGTGGGCTGGTGCTGGGTCAACTTGGATGCAGAGGATCGAGTCTTGTGGATGTTGCTGACAGGGAAGGTGTGGGAGATACTGGCCTATGTGACTTTGCCTGTGCTCTACCTCCTCATCAAGAAGCATATTAATAGAGCGGTGAGTATTTTCCTGCTTTCAGCTTGCTCTTTGCTTCTATCCTCCCATGCTCTGAAGATCTCACTTCCTATTTAGCAGCTCCACAGGCAGGAATTGCTTCATGCACCACTGAAATGCATCCTGTGGGAGAAGCAGCACACCTGATTGAGCAGCCTCCAGCAGCGCTGCAGAGACTTAGCACAAGAATGTAAAAGCCTTTGGAAAACTTACAGGGGTTATGGAGTGTACCTGAGTGAAATGTAAGCACTGGAACAGATGTGAGGGACAAAATTCAGCTCTAATCAGTCTTCCAGTTCCACATGTACCAACCCTAATATTGGTATATGGGTGTATCTAACCTCAGTCAGTTTAGGATTTCTAATGATAGTTTGAAGGTTTTAATACCTGTTTTGTACTAGCAGCATAAAGCTCCATGTGGGAATGTGGGCACTATATAGCACCATATGCACATACAGTACAGGAAGACACCCTGTCTTAGGAGAGTTTCAGAATCCAGAGGCTTATTTGCTGCTCTGTGAACACAGAGAATCCAGGCATGTAGGACAACATTAGAGAAGTCTAGGTTGATGGTGGCAGGAGGAAATACATCCAGAGATTGCTTTGTCTTTAAGCTGTATTAGGGGAAAAAGCCCCCCCCCATCTGGATGGGTGTCCTGGGGAATGCTGCCCCTGCAAACCTGCTTGCTGTGCTGCAGCCATAGGGATAAACACGAGCCGGAAGGGTCCTGGAAAGGGGCACTGGGAAGGGTTTGCTTGTGCCTGTCACCACCTGACACACATCAGCCGGGACACGGTGTTCCAGAGCTGTCCAAGATAGCAGCGTGACCCCAGGGAAACCTGACCTGCACCTGGCCGGGCTCAGCCTCCTGCTCTGCCAGGGATTCCATCGCACCCGGCTCTGCCTTCGCTGCTCCAGCCGTGGCCCTCTCACATGGTGCTGAGCACAGGCAGCTCTCTAATAACAGGGGGTTGAGGGCTGGAGCGGCAGCACACGGGGCTTCCCGAGTGGAGCATCTCGCTTACAGATGGGTTGGTTGGAAAGGACCTTAAAGCTGATCCAGTCCCAATCCTCTGCCACTGGCACCGACACCTTCCCCTAGAGCAGGTTGCTCCAAGCCCCTGTGTCCGACCTGCCCTTGAATCATCAGCCTGGGCTATTCTCATCACTAAGGATTCTGCCTGCTCATTGAGTCTCTTTACTCCCCCTTGCAAGGAAGTGCAGTAGACAACCAGGGCTGCGTTTGGGCTGTGTGAATAGCTGAAGTGGGGTTTGCAGTAGTGGCTCCTGCAGAGTCAGAGGCAGGAGAAATTATGGCAATAGCTGTCATGGGGGACACGTGCAGGGTGTGTGCCAGAGGCTTTCCAAATGGAAAAGACTGTATAGGAGTGGATGGGAAGCTGCACCAAAAGCCCTCAGGGGGTTTGATTCAGGTCACTGAATCACTGCAGTGTTGTTGTACAGCTCTGTTCTGGAGGAAGTAAGGTGTCAGGGTTGGGAGTACTGGAGTGGAGGAGAACACTGTGCATCAGCGTGGTGTATGCTCTGTAGCTCTGGTGGTAGGGGGAATAGTTTTCTGCAGGTCCGCTATGCTGAGATTTCATCTCTTCACCCACATTAACACCCTGATATTCAGCATCATGCATCCCAGCAGCTGCTCTCTGTGCTGTGCTGACCTGCTCTCCCCATCCAGGAGACTGAGAGCATCCAGTGGTTTCTACCATAGGAAGGTCTCATGGGCCTCACACCTCCAGCCACACTGATCCAGCCCACAGATCCCTGCATGCCATGGTACAGAGCTTTGCTGGCTTGGCCAAACCTGTGGAAGCCCATCGCTGACAGTATATGGTCAGAAATCAGGTAGCAGGTTCTACACAAACATAATGAAGGACTGGTTCACATGGGCATAAATTCCTTGTGGAACTTGCTGGCTGTGGGGAAGACTCAGTAGTTTGGGATGGATGAGCCAGACTTCTCCCCAAATATATTTATACATCTATATCTCTATATTGCTGGCCCAGAAAAAACTATTTTCTGGAGAACCACATAATTTCTTACACAGTTATAACCTGGTTTCTTGGCAACTCCGTAGTGATGTTTGTTAATATAAAGCTTTAGTGGGATTCTGATAAGGGCCGGATATCCTTTGTTTGCCACTCTTTGGCTTCAGCAGGACATTAGCAAGGGCAGAATGTGGCTGAAGACTGGTGCTCATAAGCATGTCCCTGTTAACCTCCCATGAGATGCAGAGATTGAGTTTGCTTTGGAAAAGGTCCCTGGAGCTGAATGTCCAACGTGTATAGCTTCTTGTTCACGTTTTTGTCTCTCTCCCACCCTCCATGGAAGCACGCAGCTCTCTCAGAGTATCGCCCCATTCTCTCAAGAGCACCTGCATTTCAGCCCCAGACTTCCATAGCAGATAAGAAGTTGATTCTCATCCCTGTCATCTTTATCATCCTCCGCATCTGGAGCACTGTGCGATTCGTTCTGACCCTCTGTAACTCCCCTGCAGTGCAAAATTCAGTCCTGGTTGTCCTGCATGTAAGTATTTGCCAGGAAATGTATTGGAAGGAGGATCTGGGAGGGAGATAAGGCTTTGCTGCTCTTAATATCGTTTTTAGAGGCAGGATGCAGCACGACCTGGCTGCTGCTGTCGGCAAGCGCTGGTCGGGATGCTCAGCAACAGCTATTTCAGCAGCATCTAGTGGCTACAGACAGTCACTGCAGCAGGAGTGCTGGGAGATGCTGGTAGGAAGAGCAGGCTCAGACCAAGAGACGCTGGGTGTCCATCCTTCAGCAGGGGCTGTAGAACCCCCAGCACCCAACTCTGGGTGCAGAGTTGATCTTTCTGAACCTGTTCTTCTCGCTTAGGTGGAAGTTGCTGTCAGTTGGGCAGTGCGGTAGCGGGGCTGACACCACGTTTGCTCAGGAACAGCGCTGGTTAATTCCCTTCTTGCCCTTGCAGGGAATTGGTAACACATTCCAAGGAGGTGCCAACTGCATCATGTTTGTCCTCTGCACACGGGTGGTCCGGACTCGGCTCCTTTCCTACATTTGCTGTTGCCACTATGAGGAGTTGGATTGGCCTTTGCGACGATCAAGCAGCAACTGGCAGCCCTCAGAGCCCCCCAAGAACAAGGAGGTGCCAGGCCCTGAGCAGACCAAACCCCTGCTCTCCAGCACCTGAGCCTGGGCTGCCCGAGTCTTGGTGCTGACTTCTTCTTTCTTGGTAAAAACCTCGTGTGAGTCTTCCCTCCTGCCCTGCCTGGTGATATGCGGGGAGGGGAGCAGCCATCAGTAAGCACTTGCAGAGAGGCAGGTTTTTGCTCTGGGGTTCCCTGACTCCCCAGCAGTTCCCCATCATGCTCCTTTGGGGTGAAACCATTTATAGAACTGATCCACCCCCTTCCCTGTGAGCTGGGGCAGTGCCTGTTACACAAGCCTGTAAAATGAGGAAATAGGCTGCAGTGCTGTCTGGCCCAAGAGGGCAGGACACCAGTGACAAGAGGAGGAATTAGTGGCTCGTTGTGATGTAAAATACCAGCACACATGCATTCCCTCAGTGCTACACAGCCCAGTGTTCCTCGTAAGGTAATGCAAACCCTGCTGCTGGGCACCATGGAAAAACCAGAGGGTGAGGGATTCATCCAAGACTATGTAGAAAATCTGGAAGGGCAAAAACTTGACAGCAGCTCTCCATCATTTCAGGTACAAGGCAGGACACTGATGTCCTTGCATTGGTGTAGGTGTGTAAGCACACAACGGATTCTTGTCCTTCTGGACTGCAACGTCCCCCCCGCAAAAAGGGTATTTTAAATGAATTGACAGTTCTTTTTCATTTGTACAGCAAGTTCTTGCAACAAGAACAGGAGATTCATGAGCTCTTTTTAACAGCATCAGGGCAGTTAAATGATACAGCCATCCCATGGGACTACAGGCAGAGGCGAGTCCCAGTATTTCCTGCATCGAAGACTTGGCATTAACTCTATTATTATCTTAAACATATTAAGCCCCTTGTACACTATGTGGGCATGGGAAGGTGGTGTCCTCAAAAGCTCATTAGCCCATTTCATGGGGCTGTAAAGGGGCTTCACTCTTTAGCATCCCTAGAGGCTTTGAAGGGTAGATGCAAGCGTCTTATTTCTGGCATAGATGGCTTTAAGACGGGTTATTCCTCCTTTCAAAAGGCTGTTTTAAACTTCTAAAAGCTGAGCAGCAACCTTGGGAGCTTAACCTCGTGTTAATCTCCTGTGGCTTGGAGAGAGGAGCTATGTTTAAAACTTGCAGGATAGCAAATCTTGAGTTTTATGAGGCTCAGAATTGTGCTGCTTTCAGTGTTTCAGAGCCGGCCCTGAAGAGAGGAAGTGAACTTGTCACCACCTTAAGGGAAAACAAAGCAAAGCACCACAAATACACACACTCCCCAAAGAAAGGAATCAAAAGGCTGAGGCTGGAGAGCCTGGCTGTATTTTAGGAATGGGCCCATCGTGCCTGTTTTTAGCTGCTGCTCGAGCTGGAAGATGGGACAATCCTGGATTTTAACTGTGCTTTGCTTTGGGCAGGTGCAGGATCATCCCCGAGTCCCCCAGAGGGAGCTCAAGCCTGGGGAGAAGCACGGCTGGAGTGGCTGAGCAGAGGGAAGAGGTC